CACATGCCTATTTCACTTGTTTTACTGTTTGTTTTAATAATGGGTTGGACCCCACAAAATTTTTGGTAGCTCTTATAGAGTAAAAGTGAAGGAATTGGCATTTAGATCTCAATGCATGTGCTTCATCATGTCATAAATACAGCCGACAAAATAAAATATTTTACACCAGTATCGTATTAGTTACTCGTAATTATATTTTAAATGATCATTAATAACTTGTTTGGATGGTTGTTATCCATTGTAATTATTCCAAAACAATTTATTTCGGAACAATAAAAAATCTCATTTTACAAAACAATCAATTTTTGAGGTGGTGGGATTCTATTTTTCTTTCCAAGTATGCCCTTGGTTATAACTTTATAATACTACTTTACCATTTACTCTATTTTATATTTTTACTCACCCAATTGCCGTACTTTTGTATTTCTTCTGCCATCGTCCAAATTTTGGTTCATAAACTTAGTTCCTTTTTTTGTTCGTTCATCAAGTTCTGTTCATTTAAATGGCTTCCCGCATTGGCTGGAAGAATTAAACTTTACAATTTGAATGATAATTATAAAGTATTCTAAATCGTAAAAATCATTAACTCACATTACGAATTTTAGCTTGGAAGAAGCCAAATTACGTCAATAATTGTTGATACATAGGGTTAGGAGCAGTTAGGATCCTTAAGAGGCATGGAAGCAGCAGAAATATTTATTACATATCATTTTCCCATTACATATCATTTTCCCCTTACTAATTAATTTAATATTTAAAACAATTAAGGATATTTTAGAAACTTATTAGTTACAGTATATACAGTCAAATTAATTAACAAAAATATTATTTAACAACAACAAACGATATAATCTATCCAATCATTGTATCAATAAAACGATACTATACAGTATAATACAATACATTTTAAAACGATGGGTATCAAAGAGCCAAACAGAATGTATAAAAAATTCTTTATACCATTAGTTTATACTCTACTGTGGCAGTCCCTGCTCCCATTATTACTAGTATTAGTACCCGCGCGGATGCGCAGACACTAATCATATCAAATATTTAAGTTATTTGAATGGTATGTAAATAATCTTAAAATTTAAACTTTCTCAGTAAATATAAATAAGCATTGGATATTAACTACATGAAAAAAATTAAGCATTTCTTCTATTTTTTCTTTTTTGATATCATTCTTGCCGGTGTCATTGATCCTAAAAATAACTCATATTTTTGGCAAAACAATCAAATGTTGAGACAATGAATGACTCTTTGGATAAAACTTAACTCTTTTATTACTACTTGAACTCTTATTTGGTGTGCTGATATCTCTTAAAAAATATTTCTTTCTTAAAATTTCAGTTTCTAAAATATTATATTTCAAAAATAATAGTTTTTATAAAAATATAACTGAAAATATTATTCTTAATTCAAAACTCATTTTAGTTGGCTATCTAAAAATATAAAAAATTCTTTAGCTAGTGAATTTTGTTTACTCCGTTTTGATATTTGACATTAACCATGTTAAATATATGAGTTATGTGAATTATATGTAAATAACCTTAACATTTAAACCTTCTAAATAATTATAGATAATCGTCAGATATTAATTTAGAAACACTATATGAAAAAGACTAACATTTTCTCAATTCTCGTAGTGATAATTTTATTTTTGCACTATTCTCATAGTTGTCATTGGAACCTAAAAATAGCCACAAAGTGAAATAATAACTCATATTTATGGCAAAACACAAAGGTTGACACGATATAAACGATTATTTGATTATGACGTGACTCTTATACTACGACTTGAACTCTTATTTGGTATGATTTTATCTTTCAAAAAATATTTCTATTTTGAAATTTCAATTTCTAAAACGTTATATATATTATAATAACGATTATCTTTATAATGATGCAAGTGAAGATATCATCTTTAATTTAAAATTCACTTTAATCGGCTATCTAAAAATTTAAATAATTCTTTGGCCGGATTTATTTCAGTATGACTCCACTTTAAGTTTATCGATATCTCTAGCCCCAGAATAGGAATTTTTAATACCCTATATATACAAAAAATTTGTTCTTTGAATCATTAAATGTTCAAGTAGTTGATTATTATTATTATAAAACATTGCATATATTGTCTTAAAATTGTCAAGTTGTTCATTTTTTGACACCATACTTGGCTTAACCTCAATGCAAACTACTCAAATTGCATTCCAATTCAAATTCGAATATCATATCAGTTTGTTAGTAATAGTGATTTTTTAAAAACGACACATAATGTAAATTAAAAAAA